GCCAATCTGGAGGAGGCCCACCAGCGAGACGCTGTCGTATAACTTCTCGATGTCCAGGAGGAGGACCAGGAAGCTGATCTGCTGCTCCTGGGCCGCCTCGTCGAGCGTCGCCCTCAAGAGGGCAGCGCGCAAGGCTGAAGAGCCACGCACTGCTGTGTCCCAAAACGCAGCGCGCGCAGGGCACCATTGCGACGTGAAGGTCTGGCGAGCCCGCGACCACAGCTTGACAGGCAACGGCGCCATACCCAGCACACGGTCTCCCTCTCCCGACGGCTTCGGGGCAAGGGCAGATAGAGTGGCCGCCAACTGCAACGGCCATGCCTGGGCTGCCTCACATCGCTGGAAAAGGTCCCTGAGCTCCTCGAGGGCCTGGGTCGGCAGGCGGCCCAGGTCGCCAGCGCCAAGCCCATCAACTCCACGAGCCTTCTTGTTGCCCGTGACTCGGATAGCAGCCTGGAGCTGCTCGCAGTGCAGCGGAGGGATGTCCTCCTCAGCTGCTTTGTGTCGTATCGCGCTCAGCGCTTGAATAATACTAGCTGGGGTATCCACTGCATCACTCCAAATCTTGCCCCACTTCGTCGACTTGTTGGCCATGATCGTGATGGGGTCGGCCACCGCATTGGCGGCAAGGGAAGTGGGAGTGGTCACCACCGTGGCATCCTCAGGTCGAGGGGCGACGGGGTCACTAACGTGTCGGTGGAGGGCGCCAGGGGAGGTGCGCCACATGCGACGGACCCAGTCGGCGTAGGCCTTGCGGGCCTTGCCGATGCCCCTCGCCACCTCACAAGCTGCAACCGCCTCGACTGCCACCGCGACCTGACACAATCCCTCAACCATCTGGTCGCTGGTAAGACTGTGGACCCCTTCGTGTAGGGAGACAATATGATCAAGAGCCGTCTTGGCTCTGTCTTGTAAGTCAGGTCGCTGATCCAAATGGTACTGTCGCAGATGCTGAACTCGACCAGCAGCACTGGCCAACGCACTACACATCTGCTCCTCATCCTTGTCATGGGGGAATATGGCCAAGGTCCTCCTGCAGAGTGTGTCCAAAACCGACCAATGCTCAGCGCCATCATATTTCCAATGGCCTCGACCAGGCGACGAGACCGACTTCTTCCACGTGACTGCAAACCCTCGGGCTCTGCCAGTGAAAGGCGCACGCTCCTGGGCCGTGAGGTTCGGGTCAAGGAGGGACTGCTCAACCTGGTGGACCCACTTGCCATAGTCTTGGGATAGCTGGTCGTTCCCCTCGAGGGCCCACGAGACGATAGGAGACTCGCTAATCATGCGCATCTCCGCCGTGAAGGTGTACTTCGGGCAACCGTCTCCACCCGCTCCAGAGGGCGAGTTAGAGTTCCATCGATCCAGGCTGACTTCAAAGACATCGCCAGTCACACCCTGAGGATCAGGGGGCTGATGGAGCTCGTGAAACGCATCTTGATGATCTGGAGGCAAGGCCTCCATGCGCCTCTGAAGGGCTGCTTGCTTGCGCTGGTAGGTCTTGCTCTGCGGGTCAGGGGCCGTCGGTGGCCGATCCACAGCAGGGAGCGGCCGCGGCAAGACCAAAGCGCGGTGCCACCATGCCGTCGACGTGCCCTGTATCTCAACATGGAGGCCACAGTGGACCTTCCAAGGAACGGTGAGGACGCCCTTGATCGAGACTAAGTCTGCCACCGACACTGACGCCACCGCGCAGTCTATGAGCGACCCCGTGCCCTTGTCACAGGTGACACGGACATCTGGGAGGACGATTGTGCCTCCCACATCCTTGAGGAACGAGTTGCGCTCCAGGGCCGTCGGGGTCAGGTTCCAATCTGCAACAATGATCCACGGGTCAGATACTGATGCCAAAAAGGCTCGCAGAGAAGCCCACCTATCAAGATTGAGGCCTCCGAAACCGTGCTTGGGCAAGAAGTAGGCAGCGATCACAATGAGGTTGCCTGCACGCAGATGCCAGACAGTTGGCACCCAGCCTCGGCAGGGATCCTTCAGGCGCTCCTTGGTCATCAGGGCCCTCTGCCGATCGAAGGACGTGGTAGCAAGATGGGACCGCGCCAGAACCCACTCACCTCCACTCGTGCCCTCCGCAGACCGACCCGTGCCCACCGCAGCACAAGCCGATAACTTCCAACCGTCAACGTCCAGACTGGCACGATACTGAATGAGCTTCGCCTCGGTGACGTGAGTCTCCACAAACGCCATCATGCCATACTTACTCTTATGCTCCACCACAAACTTGTGGATACGGGGCCCCCATCCCGTGACATTCGCAAAGAAGAGCGACGCACCAGCACGGTGAGGTGCCTTCGTCTGGGCCGAAGACAGCACGGGCTGGCGGGGGGGGGCTCCGTACCTCACGAGCCGACCGTGTAGCTGCTGACGCCACACAGCTCGCTCGTGTCTCCATCCCCGAAGAGCGGGCCAGATGGAGGCTGCCCCCCCCCGCAGTAGACTGGGAGGCCACCATCGGAGCTGACGATGCCACGCAGCTCGCTCGTGTCCCCATCCCCGTAGAGCGGGCCAGATGGGGGTTGCATGACACCGAAGTAGATGACGCCAACTCCAATGTCTCTCGTGCCTCCATCCCCGAGGAGCGGGCCAGATGGAGGGTGCCTGTAATCGGAGCCGACGGAGCCAACTCCACTGGAGCTGAAGATGCCACGCAGCTCGCACGTGCCTCCATCCCCGAAGAGCGGGCCAGATGGAGGATGCCTGGTCTCGAGGTCGAAGGGGCCAACCTCGACGGAGCTGACGATGCCTCGCGCCTCGCTCGTGTCCCCACCCCCGTAGAGCGGGCCAGATGGGGGCTGCTTGACACCGAAGTCGGAGGCGACAACTCCGTTGTCGCTGAAGATGCCGCGCGGCTCGCACGTGCCTCCACCCCCGAAGAGCGGGCCAGATGGAGGATGCCTGGACTCGAGGTCGACGGAGTCGACCTCCACGGAGCTGACGATGCCTCGTACCTCGCTCGTGCCCCCCTCCCCGTAGGGCGGGCCAGCTGGGGGCTGCCTGAGACCGAGGTCGAAGATGCCAACTCCGCTGTCACTGATGCCACGCAGCTCACTCCTGTTCCCGTCGTCGAAGGGCGGGCCAGGTGACTGCCTGCATGCGCGCCTTGCATAGAGCTGGGCGCAGAAGAATGAGGTTGCTCCAGATCCTCTCCAAAGCAATCGTCGTCGCTGAACTGCATGTCCTGAAGGGGGTCGATATCCGCATCATCCAGTGTGGTGCTACCCCCTCTTCGGAGGAGGGGCCTTGGCGCGAGGTGGAGGCCGACCATCACCGCCGCCGCCAGGGCCAGGAGGAGCAGCTGCCACGCCAACATCCACAGGGGACCTCGCGACTGGGCTCGCCTTCGCAGCAGACTGCTCGAGTCGTTCACGTGCTGCCTTGACCTTGGAGGCACGGGCCTTGGCCTCAGCGTCAGACGGGGCTGCTGGGGCTGCGGCCGCGGCCGCCGCCTTGGCTCCCTCGGAGCCAGTTGCGGTGCCCACCTCGGCGCCGCCTTCAGCCTTCGTGGCTGGGCCCAGAGATCCCTCGGCGCCGACTGCCGACGCCGTCGCCTCTGGGCCTGACGCCACCTCCACCACGCGCCGCCGCTTGAGGGGCGCCTGCGCTGCAGCCAGCTTGACCCCCTCGAGGGCCGTCTGGACGGCGTGGATGACCGCCGCGGCCTGGTCCTTGGCCTCGTCCATGGCCGTGAGGGCCGTCTGCAGCTTGTCCTTGGCCTCTCCATCCTCGTACTCATCAATCGCGATACTCTTGAGCTTATCTTCATACGCTGCCAAGAAATCGGGCACAGACTCGGGCTTGACCTCGGAAGCCGTCTGGGCACGAACATTGTTGTAGGCCAGGACCGCGGCCTCGTGGGCCTCCTCGGCATCCACGAGCTCCTCCATGGCCTGATCGTAGTCCTGGCGCGCCTGCTTGAGGCGCGTCTCCAAGTTGGAAATCTCCGAGAGGAAGTTGTGGGCGTTGGTGGCCGCCTGCTTCGCCTTGGCCTCCGTCGACTGGAGCTGCTCCAAGGGTGTGCGCGACCTCGGCAACGCTGGCGTCTCGACTGCCTGCTTGATGGCGAGAACTGAAGCCGTAACCGATGCATCTTGCTGCACAAGGGCCTCAAGCTGGTTGATGAGCTTCGCCTTACCCCAGGGGCTGAAGATCGCAGGAGATGAAGCGGCAGGCACAGCTGGCCCAGGCCCCTTCGGCGATCCTCCCTTGGGCTTGTCCTTCTTCTTCTTCGGAGAGTAGAGCTGCTGCGCCTGTCCACACACCGAGCACGCTCCGCCATTCTTGATGATACGCCAGTTCCAATCCCACTGCTTGCCAGCGCGGCAGGACGGGGTCGGGCACATGGTGTAGCTCGTGCGAGGCTGCTGCGGCGGCGCCATGGCGGACTCAGGACAGTGAGCTGAGGGGCTGGTACCGTCGTGCAACTAACGACGGGATCGGGATCCCCTGAAATCGCTGAGAGTCTGGCTCGGGGAACAGAGCTATCCCGTTCAGGCACGAGGGCGCGGAAGCCCTCTCGTGCAAACATCTTGAGCCAAAATGGCTACGGAGGAGGAGGAGGAGGAGGAGGAGGAGGAGGAGGAGGAGGAGGAGGAGGAGGAGGAGGAGGAGGAGGAGGAGGACGGAGGAGGAGGAGGAGGAGGAGGAGGAGGAGGAGGAGGAGGAGGGAGGAGGAGGAGGAGGAGGAGGAGGAGGAGGAGGAGGAGAAGTTCGAGGAGGAGGAGGAGTGGCCTTCGGGCGGCGCTCTGCCTATGGTGTTCGCCTTCGAGCCCCTCTGCGTTGGTCCCGCCTCCTCTTGCATCTCCTCCTACCGGCCTGCAGAAGTTGGTGGGGCAAGCGGGGTGGCCGCCTGCGAGTGCGGGAGGCTGCAGCAGAGGCCTTCCTGGCTCCTTGAGAGGCCTTCGGAGATGCCCTCCCTGGAGCCCTTCCCAAGGTGCCGCGCCCTTCCGCTGCGCACCTCGGGCCCGTCGCTTCTGCCGCGCCGCCAGGTGGCGAGCAAGCCGGAGGTGGAGGTAAACATCACGCCGACCTGGGCCCTCCCGCTCAGGGCCCGCCTCGCCAAGTACGGCCACGCCAGCGACAAGCGCGTGGCCGTGCGCGTGGGCGACAGCGCCGACACCGGGCTGGAGTACGACTGGGTGCACATCTGCCGGAGGTAGGCTTGCATGCTGGCGGCGCAGAAAAGAGCCCAGTCGCAGGGCGCCAACCTCTCCACGTGCACCGACCCTGGCCAGGCCGATCCCGCGCCCAGGATCGGAGCGCACGCGCCCTCCAAGTTTGGCCGATCCCGTGCCCAGCATGGGCCTTGCCAGGATCGGTGCTGTTTTTTTCTGGGCGCCCTCGTACCTTACGCTCGTTCTCGTTCCCTTGTCTCTCGCTCCCGTCGCTGCCGCTGCTTGCTTGCTGCTTGCCGCCTGCGCCCCCCGCTCCCGTCGCTCCCGCTTGCCGTTGCAGCCGCGCTCGGCAGTCCGCAATCTGCAGCTGGCTGCTGCTGCGGCTGCCGCCACTTCCGCTGCCGAGAGCTGGCTGGGCACCAGGTTTCCTCCTCCCCACCCTCATCCCTCCTGCCTCCTCCCCTCTTCGCCTCCCCCCTCCTCTCCTTCTGCTCCCCTCGCAAGCGTTCGCAGTCCGCTCATCTCGACTCGCATCGCGACTGGTCGTACTCGCTCACCCCTCTTCTCCCTTCCTTCCTCCCGTCCTCTCTCTTCCCCTCCTTCTCCGCCCCTTCCCCTCCTCTGGAGGAGGAGGAGGAGGAGGAGGAGGAGGAGGAGGAGGAGGAGGAGGAGTCCTTGGTGACTCCCGCGTGTTCGCGCCCGACGGCTGCGCTGGCTGGCCTTCCATGCCTGGGCGCACCCCCTGCCGCAGGCGTGTGGCGGCCCTGCGTGTCGCGGTGGACGACGCCAAGGCGGGCCGCAGCTTATGCGCAAGACACTCATGACGATGATGGAGATGAGGAGGAATATTAGACGATGAGGAAGATGAGACGGACGAAGGAACAAGCCGATGAGGAAGATTAGGAGGATGAGGAGAAGGAGGAGGAGCAGGTCGGGTCCGATGACGATGACGACGACCACGACGACGACGATGGTGATGCTGATGATGATGACGATGACGACGATGATGATGATGATGATGATGATGCTGATGCTGATGATGATGATGATGACGATGATGATGATGCTGCTGATGATGATGCTGATGATGCTGATGATGTTTATGACGATGATGATGATGCTGATGCTGCTGATGATGATGCTGATGCTGATGCTGGTGATGATGCTACTCATGCTGCCACTGGAGCAGCTGCTGCTGCTGCTGCTGATGATGATAACGCTGAGGATGATGCTGCTGATGCTGATGATGCTGCTGCTGCTGCTGATGATGATGACGATGATGCTGCTGCCGATGATGGTGATGATGATGGTGATGCTGCTGATGCTGCTGATGCTGATGCTGATGCTGCTGCTGATGCTGCTGCTGATGCTGCTGCTGATGATGCTGATGCTGATGCCGATGCTCATGATGACGATGCCGATGCTGATGCTGATGCTGATGCTGCAGATGATGATGCTGCTGATGATGATGCTGCATATGATGCTGCATATGATGATGATGATGATGATGATGATGATGATGATGATGATGATGATGATGATGCTGATGATGATGATGATGATGATGATGATGATGATGATGCTGATGCTGATGATGCTGTGATGATGATGATGATGATGATGATGCTGATGATGATGATGATGATGATGATGATGATGATGATGATGATGATGATGATGATGATGATGATGATGATGATGATGATGATGATGATGATGATGATGATGCTGCTGCTGCTGCTGCTGATGCTGATGGTGATGCTGATGCGGCGGAGGAGGAGGATGAGCAGGAGGAGGACCAGGGGGAGAGGGGGGAGGAGGAGGCGGAGGAGGAGGAGGAGGAGGAGGATTCCACGAATTTGTCGCGACAGCGAGAAGCGGCATCAGCTGCGGCGTCGCTCCTGATACTGATGACGACGACGATGATGCTGATTAAGAGGAGGAGGAGGACTACGAGGAGGACGAGGAGGGGGAGGATGAGGATGAGGAGGATGAGGAGGAGGAGGACGAGGAGGAGGAGGAGGAGGAGTGTCAGACGGATCACGGCTATGGCAGGGGTGCTGACGACGTTGATGACGATGACGAGGATTGCGATGATGCGGGCGATGAAGCAGTGATGATCATGAGGTATGTTTCATGTTACTCGTAACGAGGAGGACAACCAGCACGACGATGCACGCCGATGATAATGAGGATGAGTAGGGTGGGGATGAGGATGATAATGTTTAGGATGAGGAGGACGATGACAATGACGATGACGACGACGATGATGAGGAGGAGGAGGAGGCTGAGCAGGATGAAGAGGATGAGGAGGACGAGGAGGTAGAAGACTACGAGGAAGACGAGGAGAGCGAGGAGGATGAGGATGAGGCGGTGGAAACCCAAGACGCATCAACTATGTTGCAATCAGCCTTCCCTCTAACTTTCGTTGTCATTGGTCCCAACACGGTCTTTTGTTGTCATTGCTGGAAGTGCCCCATTGGAAGACAATCGTCTGATAATCCTTAATCGTGCCAACCATTCCTGGGACTTCGACGCCGCGAATCAACGCGACTTTTGCGTCCTGACAATCCTAGGTGGTGCCACAGCACCGTTCCTGGGCTTCGACGCCGCGAATCATTGTGACCATCGCGCCCTGACAATCCTAGGTCGTTTCACAGCACCATCGGCTGGGATTTCAACACCGCGAATCAACGTTACTTTTGCGTCCTGACAATCCTAAACCGTGCTGGAACACATGTCTTGGGATTTGAGCCAATCCGAGCTCCTGAAGTCGTGGCAAGCTTTTGGGGCGAATGTGCGCGGCGCTATGGCGAGAGCCACATCTTAAGAAGGAGCCGCCCTTCATCCTTGGAACTGTTGCGAACATTCAAGACGAATGTGCGCGGCGCTAAGGCGAGAGCCCCACTTTGACCGCGCTCCATCCTTGAAATGGTTGCACACTTTTGCCACGAATTTTCGCTGCGCTATGGCGAGAGTCACATTTTGATCACGTGCCGCCTTCCATCCTTGAAATCGCTGCAACGTTAAGCTTCAGCATCGTAAGTGGTGAGAAACTCTCAGGCGAAACGCCCAGCAAGCCTATAAGGAAAGGGTCTGGAGGATGAGGAGGAGGATAACGAGGAGGAGGATCGAACACCAATCTGGCCAGAGTTTCTTCCTCTGAGTACATCTGGTCGGAGGAGGCGGCGGAGGCGGAGGAGGCGGAGGAGGAGGAGGAGGTGGCGGAGGCGGAGGAGGAGGAGGAGGAGGAGGAGGAGGACGAGGATCTCGGTTGGCGACGAATCAAGTGGGCGCGGGCCGAAAAGCTGGTACGCGCTCACCATGTCGGGGATGCCGCGGCGGGCTTCGCGAGGGAGCGCCCCCGGCCCCTGGAGGGCCCGGAGCCCCCGAGGGCGCCCCCGGATCCTCCCGTTCCGCCGCATTCGCCTCCCGGAGCGCCGCCGACGTCGAAGAGCCTCTTGCCGTGTGCACGCGAGGGCGGGCCCTCCCGCCGCGCGCCACCTCTCCCCCTTCCTCTGCCTTGCCGCCCCTTCGGTCTTTCCCTCTCCCGTCGGCGGCTACAGGGGGTGTGGTCACGCCGGGGTGCGGTTTGCGGTCGGCGCCGTTGGGGTCTCGGGGGGCGCGACGCTGCCCTCGTCGGGCCTCAGTGGCGCGGCGGAGAGCTCAACCGAGGTCCCTCGCCCTTCCCCCCCAGGGTGCCCCCCCAGGGTGCCGGCTGCAAAACACGAGGGCAGGCGCCATTTGCCGTCATCGGTGCTGACCTGTTGACGACTCGCGGTCTTGCGTCTTCGCCCTGGGCCTCTGCGGCGAGCGAGGAGGAGGACGAGGAGGAGGAGGGGGAGGAGGAGGAGGAGGAGGAGGAGGAGGAGGAGGAGGAGGAGGAGGAGGGAGGAGGAGGAGGAGGAGGACGAGGAAGAGGAGGGGAGGATGAGGAGGAGGAGGAGTCCTGCCCTGGCCTTGCGTCTTCGCCCTGGGCATCTGCACTCCGGTGGGCCCCGCGCTCTTCTGCGACGCCGCCGTCGAGAGAACGAGCCCGACCTCCGGCGCCGCCTGAATATCTACATGGTCTGCCTCCTCCTCCTCCTCCTCCTCCTCCTCCTCCTCCTCCTCCTCCTCCTCCTCCTCCTCCTCCCTCCCCCTCCCCCTCCCCCTCTCCTCTCCCCCTCCTCCTCCTCCCCTCCCTCCTCCTCCTCCTCCTCCTCCCCTCCTCCTCCTCCTCCCCCTCCTCCTCCCCCTCCTCCTTTTCTGGCCTTTCCGTGGCCGCTCCCTTCTCCCTTTTTGCCCTGCCCTGTGCTTTTGCCCTAATCACTTCGGATGCTTCCCGCCGTTCGCCCAATCGCTTGTTGGACCCAGCCCGCCGCTGGCCGGCCCAGGTGCACGCGAAGGGCCCAAATAAGCAGGGCCGACTGCGCGGACATTCGCGTGTAAGCGCGTGGGGTGGTGCGTGACCGGCCCTTTTCCGACTTGGGGTGCCTCGCTGGCGGTCTGCGGAAGCCACCACGTAAGGTCGTCATGCCCTCGTGCGCAAGACCCTTTCTTCTCGTCGCCCAAGAGGTGCTCGTTCCACTGAGCTCGGCAAGAAATGTTTGGCCACCACTGCCGCTGGAATCCACAGGGAACGCTCCTGTGGTGGCCAGCCTGGCGTTGGAAAGGTGACCGCCGCTCGGGATTTCACTCCTGACCCCTACGGTGTAGGTGGTCTAACCCTGACATCCGTCGATCATCGTATTTCGTCCGCCACCTGAAATTTGCAGGCTAGTTTCTGGGCGGGATTCTGGGTTTGGACGACCACGCGGCCGCAGCGGAGCCCAGTCTGAAGTGCTAGAAAATCAGCTTGCTCTCGATTGACGGATGTCTCCACCGCAGTGGCATACTTTTCAGTGATGCGGTCGTGCAAGGACGTTTGTGTTTGTCATTGCAGTTGGTTGGACTTGCGATTGACATAATCCCCCTAGTACCATCCGCCGCTGGCTTACTAGCTGCTGGCGAATGAGCCGCTGGCTTGAGCCTAAGCCATCCAAGGTAGCCCGGCGAGGGACCCGACCACAATGCAGCTGCGAGCGTCGTCGTTGTGACCCGGGTGCGACTGGGAGCT